AAATAGAATAACAAGTAAATATTCAGAATAAGCAACCAAGTACGAGTTGTATAATAATATAAATAGGTTATATATCTTAAACTAAAAAAACTGTTAAACAATACTTCAAGACTTCTGTTTAGATTTTAGGCTAACTCTGTCTAGTTGTAACTAGTTTGGCTAAGCTAGTTTAGTTAACTTTTTTAACTTTTTTACTCCTATACATATATTATTAGAATAAATACAGATCGAATATATGAATAATAGAATATATCTATATAGTTCTATTATTTTATCAATATGCATAAGAAGGCAATATAGAAGAACCAATAATAGTAAACTAACAGATATTGATATTTTAGTAAAATAAAATATAAATATCAGTTAAGGCTATAACAAATATTACGTAATATTTTTTTACTATACCCCTACCCCCTCTCCTCCATATAAGAGAAATTTGATTGGCTCTTATAAATTTAATATTTAATATAAGATTTTATTAGCCCCCTCCTAAAAATATTATGTAATATTTGTCATTACCCTTATATAATAATATATCTTTTGTTTTATATTATTATCTTGATATTCAATTTGCAAGTTTATAATATTATAGCAAGATATAGGTATATAAAAATGTATATAAAAATATATTTTTTAACTCTATTATTATCCTGATATTCAACCTAAATGTTTATAGTATTATAGCAAGATATAGGTATATAAAAATATATATAATGATATTCTTTTTTTAACTCTTTTATTATCCTGATATTCAATTTACAAGTTTATAGAATTATAGCAAGATATAGATATATAAAAATACAGTATAATTTTATCACTATCTACTACTTTAGATTTTAATTTTGCTAAAATATCTATTCTGTTTTTCTATTTGTTTTTATTATATTTGTTATCTTTGCTAATTCTAGTTGTATTTTCTTCATTTTAACTATTTAAAATATTTTTTATCAAGACAAATTTCTTTTTTTAAATCTATTTTTTGTTAATTTAAACTATTTTTTTTTATTCTTCTGTACTATCTGTATATATCTTAATCTTTTTTTTGTTAAATATGATAAAAAGTATATATCAAATCTTAAACAATTTTATTTTTGTTGAGAAGAGCTAATATTTTGCTTCAAAGTATCTTTTATCAACTATTTTTTTTTTATCTACTAATACTATATTTAGCTTGTCCTCATATTGTCTAGTTTTGACTAGACTAGTAATTTATTGTTTATAAAGATCTGTCAATATAGAAAGTAAACTGAGTTAAAGAGCATCTTCTAATTCTTTTTATCAAATAACTTTGTATAAACAGGTTGATATGCTAGTTTTTAATGATTTTAATATATAGATTATAAATTTAAATTTTTTATAAAACTCTTTTGCTTATGAGTATTTTTACTTTAGAATATTTTTGTATTAATTGTATTATTTTTTGGTTAATTTTAAGGGTTTTTCTTTTGTTTATCTACAAATTTTGATATAGTATCCTATATACTTTTTCTATTTAAATAGTTTTAGCAAAAATTCCTTTTCTCTTTTGATTGAGTTTATAATTTTTGCATCTTTTTATCTTAATATCTTTGGTATTTGGGTTTTTGTTTATTCTTTAATGCTCTGTAAGTATTTTCTTCTTTAATTTGTCAAGAGTTTGTCTGATTTCTGAATCTTTATTTTTCTTAATTTTTATAGTCTTCATCAAAATCTATTCTTTTTTCTTTTATTAGCTTCTATTAAATTTGGTATAACTTGCAGTAGTGCTTGGACCCGGATATCTTTGTATCCATTTATCAGTATCTTTTTGTATCCAGATAACTGCTAGCATTTAATTTACAGATAACTGGATAAACTAGATAAACCCTACAGATAACCGGATAAATCTTACGGATATCAAATAATCATACAGTATCCGAATAACCCGGATAACTTATAGATATTGATAATTAGGGTTAAATTCTGCTAAAAATTTGATAAAACCAGGTCCTTCTCGTATATTAATAGGCAAATGATCCTTGACCAGCATACTAATAAACTTTTGATCTCTCCTTGCTTTTCGTTTAGGATCATTTACAGCGAACATCGCATCAATATTTATTTGTTTAGATTGCTGTTGCTCAAGTTGTTGTTTATGAGATTCCTCTGTAATTCTATGTCGTGATACCAAGTGGCTAATAAAATTCCCTGTCGAAGTATCAGTTGATCCCATTAAATGGCCATACTGTTGAAATCCATTAATTCTATTAATTTTAAACAAACATCTGACTATCTGTTTATATGGTTGTACAGGTTGATATAGTTGATAATAAGACCATATCTAACTTTTTTCAGGTACCTTATCAATAGATACAAGTTGAAGATCTTTAAGGTTTGGTTTAGGAGGTTGATTTGTATTAGAGCTACTTTCAGGCATATTGCCAGTTATATAATCGCAATTATGTTTATTAGCTATATCATTGTTGGTTATATGATTATTGTGTTCGTTAGTTATATAATCGTTATCATGTCTAGTAGTGTTTTCATTACTTAAATTCTCTGTACGAATTATGCTTTTGCTGAAAACTTTTTTCTTTTTTTTTTGTTCTGTGGTTATA